GGTTTGAGTAAGCCTCTTTTTTTAATGCGCATGGAAGTTTGAAAGGCACTTTTGGACTGATGGCTCCTTACTTTCTTTTCTACTATGGCCGACCTCAGTAATACAGAAGACACCTTGGCCCACCCAGACCTCACTTGGTCTGGTTTCTCTTTCCAGGGCACACAAACTTTGATACGAATAGAGCGCTCTTGTGGGGGACTGTAATTTTGCCTACACAGTGTCTCTTCCTTCTTTTTCTTATCCACTTGGACTACTTAAACAAAACGTAGCAGACTGGGTGGCTTCTCCACAACAGAAACCTAATGCTCCCAATTCTGAAGGCTGGGAGCTCAAGATCAGGGTACCAGTGCAGTTGGGTGTGGTCCAACTTCTTCCAGGTTGCAGACTGCCCAATTTCCTGCAATGCTGTCACGGAGTGGAAGGATGAGCAAGCTCCCTGGGTTGTTTTGTTTTTGTTTTTGTTTTTGTTTCTAATGAGATAGAGAATGAGAGAGAGAGAGAATATGAGAGGGGAGAGGTCAGAGGGAGAAACAGACTCACTGCTGAGCAGGGAGTCCGATGCGGAACTCGATCCCACAACTCCAGGATCATGACCTGAGCTGAAGGCAGTTGCTTAACCAACTGAGCCACCCATTTTCAGCATAAGAATATTTTTGAGGACACAAACTTTTAGACCTTAGTGCTCTTGTAATAGTGCCCTGCTTTTTCCTGGGAGGCCCTCCCAAATTCCATGTGTGGTAAGACAGTGAATACCAGCCGTGGTAGGGCACCTGGGTCAGGCTGGATCATCAGAGTACCATTTCCCTCTGAACACAGACATGAGGAATTTGGGGGCTCTGATACAAGAGGGCCAGAGTTCTTTCTGGAACTGTCAGACCAAGTCGTGGAATAGGTTCCTCCCCATGTGGTTTACCTGGGACTCTGTTGGCCTGACACAGCTCTCTCTCCCAGCTGCCTGGAGAAAGCCCAACCACATGGAGAGAGAAGGAAGTCAACCCGCAGATGGGGCGGAGCCAAGAAATGGAGAGTCAGAGAGCCTGGAACACCACCATTTAAGCCTTGGAACCAGTCATGCCTGAAGCCATCAACTGCTGAACTATCGGTTACGGAAGTCAAAACATTCCCTGGAAAGTTAAGCCGTGTGAGATTGGGCTTCTGTTACCGGTGATGAAAGAGTCTTAGCTAATACAAGCAAATCTAGAAGGATTATACGACGTCTGTATACCAATAGAAGATTGAATGGATTCACATTGGAGTGGAAATTCAGACATGATTTATAGACTTATAATCGGAAATATAATAGGCCCAAAGCTCCGCACATGAGAGTGTTAACTGAACTAGCTCTGGCCCAAAAGATATAAACAAGAATCTATTGGATCAAGATTTGGGGGAAGCTTCTGTTTTCTTGGTGCAAGGGCAAGACTCAGCTGCCACGCGTCCTTTGTCCTTTTCCTTCCCCTTCTTCTTGCCCGAGATGCAGACACAATGTTTTAGGGATGCAGTAGGCACCTGGAGATCATGAGTGTGAAAGCCTCATGTTAGTGATGGAAGAGCTGGAGATGGAAGGAGTTTATTTCCTGATATCTCTGGAAGCTATGGTACCTGTCCGGGCCTGCCTCCCTCTTGACCTCCTGATACACGAGAAAATTATCTCAGTTTTATTGAGCAACTATAGTTGGGTTTCTGATTCATGCAGCTAAATGCAACTCTAATTTATGTAATGTCTTTCACCTGTTATATCCAAGCAAAGGTCACAGACTTTGGGGCTAAGTCCAAGTCCATTAGTGGCTCACAATACCATGTTTCACCTTGGACCAATGTCATTCTTCAGATGAGGAACCTGAGTCCCTGGATTCACTTCCTATTGCTACTGTAACAAATTGCCACAAACGTAGTAGTTTAAAGCAAAACAACTTTATTATCTTACAGTTCTAGAGGCAAGAAACCCTAAAATCAAGGGGTCGGGGGCTGAATTCCTTCTGGAGGCTTCAGAGGAGAATCCGTTTCTTGTCCTTGTCCAGCTTCTAAAGGCTGCCTGCATTTCTTGGCTCACAGCCCCCTTCAAATTCAAGGCCAGCTGTGCAGCATTTTTTAATCTCTCTCTCTTCCTCCCTCCCTTCCTATCTCTTTCTCTTCCTCCCTCCCTCTTTCTCTCTCAGCTCCGCTTCTGTTGTCATGTCCCCTTCTCTGACCCTGACTTTCCTGTCTCCCTCTTTCCCTCTAAGGACTCTCGTGATTACACTGAGACTATTTGGATCATCTAGGATAACCGCCCATGTCAAGATCCTCAGCTTAATTCCAGTTGCAAAGTTACTTGTACCAGGTAAGGTAGTACATTCACGGGCTCCAGAGAAAAGGATGAGGACACCTTCTAGGAGCATTGTTTTGTCTACCATAATCCTAGATATAGAAAGTGATTTGCCCAAGGTCATACATGGCCAATAGAAGAGGGAGAACCATGGGTAGGCTCCCCACCACTGACAGAAATGCCCTTGCTTCTCCTCCCTGGCTGGAAGCTGCAGGCCAGTCATTCTTCAAGGTCCATTTCAGGCTGTCCCTCAGCTCAGAAACCATTGCTGCTCTCTGTGGTTAACAGAGCCCATCCTCTTGGCTATGTCTATGTCACTCATTGGCACTTGGCACACATTCGGTCAGCAATCTTCAAAGTGTACATCTTGTTTTCTGCAGTCTTGACTCAAAGGCAAAGATCACACCCTAGACTTTTTGCATTCCTGGATCCCTGAGCCCACAGAGCGGACAGTTCAATACATGTGTACAGAGCACGGCGTTCATGGCAGATTATCCAGGTCGACTCACTGGACTCCTGTACCACAGAATCTGGACGGCTAAAAACTGCATTTCCCAGAGTCCCTGGCAGGTTGGACTAGGTTCCACCAAGCTAGACATGGTGAAAGAAAGGTAAGTGGTAGCCACAGGTGGAGAGAATCCTTCAGGAGCACAGTGGTGGGTGGACTTGGTTTTGGGGGGCCTCTACTGTCAGGTCCCTGGTGACTTGGACGCCAAGTACCCCAGTGAAACAATGCTATTGGGCATTTCTCAGAGCTGCATGGTACTTGAGCTTGGTTCTCCAGTTCCCGTGGACATCTGTAAGCTTCTTACTGCCTGGGGTAAACATAACCCTTTAGTTGGTGCGGTTTCTATTTTTTGCAGCTAAGACCCATGGCTAATTTTTTTTTTTTTAGGTCTAATATTCTTTTCTCCCTCAGTCAGATTGTAAATTCCCAAAGGGCAGGAACTACATTTTACATCCCTCCTATAAAATCAAGAGTACATAGTTCCCCAGTAAACTTAGCAACACAATATGCATAATTTATTGAACTGAGTTAAAATTCTAAGATTCTGATGAATTCTATATCCTGTCTGTGGCTGAAGAACCTAAAATGGCCATTAAAAAAAAAGATTTTATTTATTTGACAGAGATACAGCAAGCGAAGAAACACAAGCAGGGGGAGTGGGAGAGGGAGAGGGAGAAGCAGGATTCCCACCAAGCAGAAAGCCTGATGTGGGGCTCGATCCCAAAACCCTGGGATCATGACCTGAGCTGAAGGGAGACGCTTAACGACTGAAGCACTCAGGTGCCCCTAAAATGACCATTCTTTTTTTTTTTTTTTAAGATTTTATTTATTTATTTGACAGACAAGTAGGCAGAGAGGCAGGCAGAGACAGAGGGGAAAGCAGGCTCCCTGCTGAGCAGAGAGCCAGATGTGGGGCTCAATCCCAGAACCCTGGGATCACAAACCAAGCGGAAGGCAGAGGCTTTAACCCACTGAGCCACCCAGGCGCCCCTAAAATGGTCTTGTTTTGATGCCTTAAAGCTAAGTCAGGCCTGGAGGAATCTGATTTTTTTCAAATGTCTTTCTTTCTTTTTTTAATTTAAAGATTCTTATTTATTTATTATTTGAGAGAGAGAGAGAGCTAGTGAGCAGGAGCACAAGTGTGTGTGGGGCGGGGCAGAGGGAGAGACACAAGCAGGCCCCCACTGAGCAGGAAGCCCCAGGAGGGGCTCCATCCCAGAACCCTAGGGTCATGACCTGAGCCAAATGCAGTTGCCTAACTGACTGAGCCACCCAGGCACCCCTCAAGTTTCAACACTTGGAAAGGCCAGAAGGGCAGTCAAGGAAACTTCCCTTTTCCTATCAACTTCTATTTATTGCAAAAATGAGGTAACATTAAATGGATTGTAACAATTCATCCAAAATGTCACTGGCCTAACACACTGCAATGTTTCCATTTTCTTCCCAGCCCTATTCCTACCATCCTTAATTTTGCAGGGCTGTGGTCTGCATTACTGCCTGGTAATGTAAAATTTACTAGTTTTGTGCTCTGCTTTCTCATATGTTGTAACACAAGCAGTTTCCATGTTGTTACCTAGTTTTCATTTTTGGTGGCATAATATTTCTTTCTGCAGCCATGTTATACTTGTTTGTACAGTGACTTTTCTTCCGGCTTTTTCTGGCGTGATATCTTACACTGCCCTCACCGTCTTTGGAATCACTTCCCTAGCATCACTTCCCAGGCGCGGGATTATCAGGCCAATTGGTCCAACTATCTCCATTGCTTTTAGGGCCGTCACACTCAGCAAAAAGATGAGGACACCAATGAAGTACTGATCTCTTTAATGCTTGCTACCTCTACAGGTGCCTCCTTATCCTGATTTGCCTTGTTTTGGTTTTTAGGGAGACTGACTACTTCCCAGGGGCTTAATGTTTTGTTTTTCCTGCCTCTTGTCCACTGAGCTCTCCTGGGGAGATGGCTGCCATTTCGGGGGCGTGTGACCCGGGAACGGAGAGGCGGCACTCGGGAATCCCGGTTTGCGCCCCTAGGAGCCGGGTTTGCACCCGGCCCGCCGCGCTGGCCCCGCCCCGCCCGACTGCACAGCCCGGGACTACACTTCCCAGGCGCCCCTGCGCGGCGAGCCCGGCCGCTGTTCCCCGCCGGAGGCTGGGACGCGCGGAGACTGAGGTGTACGGCAGAGCGCGATGGCCTCGTGGGGCGAGCGGCTGGAGGGCGTGCGCGGGGTGCTGCTCGACATCTCTGGCGTGCTGTACGATGGCAGTGAGGACGGCGGCGTGCCGATCCCTGGCTCCGTGGAGGCGGTAGCGAGGTGAGTGCGTCCCCCCGGCCGCGGTGGGCGCGAGGCTCCGCGCTCAGCCCGGTCCCACCTGCGTTTTCTGGCCGCTGCCGGGGGCGGGGCTGCAGCTCTGGCTCCGCCCCTCGCTCTGGGTCTCCCCCGCGACCCTAGCTGGACCCCGCCGCCCCAACCCCCAACTTCCTTGCCTGACCCGGCAGCCCCTGACTACCTGCGGCGGCTGAGCGCTTGGGATAGGGCTGGGCAGAATTGCAATGCGCTGTGAGGGCACCGTCCACACGGATTTCCAAGACTTAGTGACAAAAGCGGAAAGACCTTGCTTTGTGGGGATAACATGTTGAAGTGATAATAATTTGATTAGGTTAAATAAGATATATTAGATTCCACCTGTTTTTTACTTTTGCTAATGTAGTTACCAGAAAACTTTGAAGTATGTGCTGGCATCATTTGTTGGGGGGGGAGGGGAGGAGGAGGGCATCTTGCCCACCAAATCTCGTGCACAGAAGACCACGCAGGGACCACGGTTGGCACCATTGGACTCTCCGCTTTGTAATTGCCATTGGCACGACAGGCCAGTGCTGCCATGATTTTGATGGGCAGCCAGGAAGGGCTAATTGCCCAGGACTTGGCTTCCTCGACTCACTGATGGGAGGACCCTGGGTTAGTGGCCTGATCTCACTAGGATTCAGTTTACCTACCTGTAGCTGGCAATTAAGTGAGCCTCTTGGTCCTTCTCAGGGAGCCCACCCCACTGGTCTGTACAGGAGCCAAACTGTCCTGTGTAGCAAAGTTGGAGGTGTTTGAGAGACCAGGAACTCAGAAAAGGGGGACATGGCCGCAAGGAGAACATGTGAAGGGCAGCCCTGTCCTAGGAGACTCCTGTCCTACGTTGCTTGTGGAAGATCCATTCAGCTTTCTCTCTCACCAGTACCACTTCTGGAAATTGCCTTGCCTTATGTATGAGAAAGGACCTCAGTGCAAGGTCATTCATGAAAATAAGTTTTGAAATAGGAAAACACTGGAAAGAACTCAGATATCCACTGATAGGGGAGTATCATGGTCCATCCATCTATGCAAGGGAGTACCACGCAGCACGAAGGGAACGAGTGTGCCTGTCACATAGACGCATTGTCAAGGAAGACAGCAAAGCACAGAACCGGCTGTGTGGTGGCTGTCTTTTGGGTGGAAAAGGCAGAAATGCAGGCCAGTGTTCCTGCTGCTATGTTTGCTTAAGGAAGCTGGGGGAAGAGTTCGCTGTTTGAAGAGCTGGGGACGGACAACTGGGGAACGCTGGGTGGTTGCTTCTTCACTGTATGGCTTTGTGTATTAACTTTTTTTAATGTTTTTTTGAGCCGTGTGAATATATCTCCCATTTGAGATTTTGAATGGCAAGTACTCTGTCAATTATATGTCAGTAAAGCCGGAAAAAAGGTACCCACCCCCAATTTACAAGTGTTTTAAGATCTCTCTAGTTGCAAAATGGGGAATGTCCAGATGCTCTTGGCAGGAGAGAAAGCAGAGGAAGCAGTTAGGAGACCATTGTATAGTCCAGAAAGAGATGGTGGGGCAAGGACCAGGGAGGTGGTGGGAAGGGAGTGAATGAAAGAGATGTTTTGGAAGTAGGACCGAGAGGACCTGCTGATGAGGGAGTACTGTGGGGGCCGGGAGAAGAGGAAGTAAAGAACGGCTCCCAGTGTCGGACTAGAGCACCTGAAAGGACGGAGAGGGTAAGGAAGGGGGTGCAGGGCAGGTGCTTGATAGTTCATGATGTATGTATGTCAAGTTCTTGGCCCAGTGCTAGGTGCAGGATAGACCGGTGACAGCACCATATGCATACATACATACATTTATTTCTTTAAGTTCTGGAATTTTTTATTGAGATAGAATTAACATACAATCTTATATTAAAGATTTTTTTTTTAAATTTATTTGACAGACAGATCACAAGTAGGCAGAGAGGCAGGCAGAGAGAGAGAGGAGGAGGAGGCAGGCTCCCTGCGAAGCAGAGAGCCCGATGCGGGACTCGATCCCGGGACCCTGAGATCATGACCTGAGCCGAAGGCAGAGGCTTTAACCACTGAGCCATCCAGGCGCCCTTACAATCTTATATTAGTTTCAGAGGGACAGCCTGTTGGTTCAGCAGTTCTGTACATTACTCAGTGCTCAGCACAGTATGAATGGAGCCGCCAGCAGTCACCAAACAACACTGTTAACAACATGATTGACAATATTCCCTGTATTTCCGGGCAGGTGAGGCTGCTCTTGGCCGCCTGTTCCGTGCTCGGTATCCGTGCTTGCCTCTCACTGTCTTGTGTGGTCCCCCAGACAGTCTGGGGTGGAGGGCGCTGTGCCTCCCCTTTACCACGGGAAGCCACTGCTGCTCGGGGCTTGCCAGGGTCGCAGCTGGGTTGGCCCAAGGACCATGGGGACCCAAGTCTGCCTGACTGCCAGCCGCTGTGCCTGAGCCATACTTGGAATCCTTTGTGGGAGGAGCGGGTGTTGAGAAAGGTCAGCGGCTTCCAGCAGCCCCCACCAACACAGACCCGTCCGTGTCCAACAAATGCGTTTGCCAATCGCAGGGTGTGGCAGTAAGGAGGGGTCCCGGCCTGTTCACCTCCGTGGGTTCTGCACTGGCGCCTTCCCACCCATTCCCAGGAGGGTTTTGTTCTGATTTACTTTAACTCAGGCTGATTTAAGTAGCTGGGATGTCTCTGGTAGCAGCTGTACCCTAGAAGTCGAACAGCTGTGTGACGTCAATCTTAAAATACATCAGAACCAGTTTTGTGACTGAGAGGGGGATTGCCTTCCCCAGAGCACGTGGGATTGTTTTCGGTGAGGGGACATAGCACACCTTATCCTGAGAGATTTTATCATTGTGCTGCCCAGGGGCCTGGACTGCTAATGACCTCGTCCTTCTGAAACCTCAGGGGCTCCCAGGCCATAAGACCAAGTCCCCATGCCTCCTTCTGATCTGCTAGGGCCTTCTCAAGTGAACTTGGTGGCCCCTTGTCCACTGCCTTCCCACCTCATCCCGTTGCTGCCAGTTGCAAAGACTCCTGGGTAGGGTTTTCACTGATGAGCCTCTTTGTGGCCAAGCGCCCACCGAGCCTGGGCCCACCCACACCCTGGTGCGCTCTGGGTCTCTGGACATCCTTCCCTCTTGGGCTCTTCTGCTCGGCCTCCAGGGGCCCACTGATCACACCCAAGCCTTCCTTGTGGGTAACCGTGGGCAGGCACAAAGCCCAGGGCCCAGACACTCCGTGGTAGTGAGTGTGGTGCTGGAAGGTTCCCCCTGCTTTTGGAGTTTTCCATGGGAATGTTTCACACATGCCGCTTGTCCCTGTTTTGTAGCGCCTGAGCCAAACGTGGACTCTCCCAGGAACCTTTTACACAACAGGCCTGCTTGCCAAGGTGAAGGACGCTGTGCCCTGTGTGTTTGGCTGCTTTCTATAGTGTTTGTAGCCACGGAGAGGGGTTTCTTTACAACCTGCACTGGGTGGCCTCCTTGATATGCGAGTCTCACTTTGAGAGGCTCACTTTGATGTCCAAGGAGCTCAGTGGAAGTCCCTGGGGTGAGAGCAGCTGCAGAGGGACAAGCATGATGGGGAGGAGATGAGGTTCTGGGGGACCGGTCACTCCACAGCAGCCCCCCAGCACCACAGGCTCCCTGCCAGCAGCACCATCATTTGAGGAACCCAAGAGGGGGCGACTGACTACTCTTCTTCCTAGACTTTTTGCAGTGACATGTTTGTCCCCAGGTTTTCTAAAAGGTTCCCACCGTTTTGGGGACATGGAGCACATGCAGAGGATAAACCCTCCTTTCCAGAACCATGTGGACCACAGTCACCAGCGATTGAGGGGGGCCTGTCGGGTCCCAGCTGGGTGCTTGACTGCATAGCTGCTTTCCCAGCCCACCCCCAAGTAGGGATTTTGGGCCCCTTTTCAAAGGGACGGAGGCCCAGAGATTCAGCAACTGGCCGATGTGGAAAAGGTGGCTGGGCCAGGTTAACCCCTGGGTTCCTGAGACTCCAAGGCCTCCGTGTCCCTCTCAGCACTATGCTGCCTCTTGGTACAGGCATTTGCTCTTTCATTCACTCCCACCCGGCAAGCATTTACCGAGCACTTCTGAACTGTCAGGACCCTCGGTTGGGAAGGAGGCAGAGGGCAGTTGGGAGAATCAGTGTAAAGGGCGCTTGGGAAGGCCCATATCTGATGGGGGGAGACCCAGCTGGCAGGAAGCAGGGGAGCTGGGGTGGGGGAGCGTAGCCTCGCGGGTCCATTGCGGTTGCGCTGGGCTTTGCAGACGTCATCGGCGCCAGGAGTGTCCCCAATGGAACCAAAGGCCCAGGCCTCGGAGGCCACGCCAGCTCCTTCCTGGAGCTGCTGGGGACAGTGCTGCTGAGCTCTCTCACTGCACTTCGATTTGTGGGCGGGCGTGGTAATGGGACATCTGTAACCAGCCCGGGGTGCCCCCAACGGGCCCTTTATTGGAGCCCATTCTTGGGCATTTGGGCTCTCCGGGGGGGAGCCATTCAGAGGCAGGGCCGGGCCCAGCGGGGGCTGCAGGGGCCGGCCTGGGGGCTGGCCGGCACAAAGGGGAGCCCCGGAGGCATCTGCATGTGAAAGGCAGGTGGGCATTTACTGCATCCTGTCTCCGGCCACTAAAGCACAGCTGCTCGGCCCAGCCCTTTTGTGGCCGGCGGAAGGGAGCAGGCCTGAGCCCGGGGCCGCTTCATAAAGCAATTCCCACCCAGGGCCGCCAGACCCACAGCCCATCCTTCCAGGTGGGGCCTCTCAAGCCCCAGGGTGTCCCGGAAGCCCTGGGACCCTGTTGACACCGAGGCCCCTCCCAGCAGGTTTTTGAGGCGATGGACGGGGCCAGGGGCACCTTGCCCGAAGTCTCCAGCCTGCAGACCTCAGGACCAACCCCTCCGTCCCTCCCCTCCTCAATGCTGGGCTGCCAGGGCTGAGCATCTGGGCCTAGGAGTGGCAATACTAAGAGCTGCTAGGGACTG